AGTACAATTGGACACTGGGACAGGAATTGGCAAAGTTTTGTAATAGTCGCCAAGATGACTGGGAGTCTTACTCTTTTGGGTAAGTGGGCTAAACGCCAAGTCGAGAGACACATCAGATTTAGATATATTCGTCCCCTAATCCTGAAAAACTGATCAGAAGAAAAGCAGTCGGCCATCAACACCAGCCGCCACGTGAAATGAGTAATAAGATTGATAGAATAACTGAAAGAGTGTTTTCTTTGTGTGTTCGTTTTATAGAGCTTAAAAAAGATAACAAATTCCTTAACAAGGTTATCAAGGCTATATTTGAAATTTAAAGGATTCATGTTTTGGTTTCCCAAAATGTAAACACAGAAATTGATTAACTTCACGTAGAGACCAATCACTTTCAATGCAGGCAGGCAATAGCATCAAAGATAAAACGAGCGAAGATTATCCGAATTAAATTGTTTAATTGTTGTTTTAAATGTTTGATTCACGAAATGACTTAAGAGTTTGTTTTTTTAAAGAAGCAAGAGTGTAGAATATTTTGATTCCTATTTTTCGGAAAATAATTATAAAATGCAGTAATTGTTTTAGAGAATTGTCTTGTAGAAATGAAGAAATGACAAGGTAACACAATCTTTGTAACATCCTCAACTCTTAACTCAGTCATTTCAAAAATTTCGTTTGTTTTGAGATTTCATAAGAAAAAATAAAGAGTTCGTCTATACGTAAAGTTTAAACACATTTAAATAGTGGTAATTACGTACTTCTGATTGGAGGGTTGAGCACGTGACACGTCAAATACATCGATATCGTTAACTACGTACGTCATCACTTGAAATTGTCAAAAACTCTGCGAACATATCCACCAGTCTCACTTCATCGATTTCAACCAAAAGGTATAAATAGAAGATAGCATTTGGTAAGGATGTTTGATCACATTGGACACGTTCATCTGAAGATATAGTAATAATATAAAAACGCCAGCTTTCGTTATTTTTAGAGAAACTATGGTATACTAATGTACCCTATTAAACTAAGTATGAATATAATCCGTAGTTTTAGTCCTTCGATCTGATATCAAATTTGTCGAAGTAAAAGTGAATTATAGATATTAAAAAACTTGCTTATTTATTTTCCATATAACACAATGCAAGGTGGAAAATGTCTGACTCTGATACGAAGTCAACTTGTCCGGACATCCATATAGGGAAGCACTTTATCAACAAGTTATGTCAGGACAAGGAATACGAAGAGACCTTAAAGAGTTATACGAGCGTTGCTCCTGTTTACGATGAAGTAAGTATATAAAATATTTTGAGCTGGCTTGCTCCAGAAATCTACCACATTTGTTCGTGTAACTCGTAGATATATTGTATAATAATTTGTTTTTTCCTCGTAACTAGTAGCATAGAACAAGTTTGCCTTTACAGATTATTGGAAGGGTGACCTTTGTTACGTCTCAAATACAGATGTAGCAAAGACGTAAAATATGTACAATATGTATCTGTTCAAGAGTTGAGAAACTAAAAAATTTCGTTCGTTATTTCGGGGTAAGATTTAGAATAAACTTGTCTTCTTATAATTTTTTTTAACAAGGTACAATTTTAATTATGATGTTCGAATGACTAGTGTGAAAAGCAAAAATAAAATCGCTTTAAAATATGCTTTAACTTAATATTAAGTGTAGCCGTTGATCAAATTAGTTGTGCTTTTTATTAAAATCACCGAATTACTGAAACGGGAAATAGTTTGTCAATGTACGAGGGAAAAATTAAAACGTGAATTTGTTGATATTATTCTTCGTATTATTAGCAATAAACTTCTATAAAAATATATACAAATAAATAGTTTTAGATAGAGTGCAAGTTCTACCTAAGTTCGTCACAATACACTGCACTTCAGGTGTTTATACTATGCTGTTAGCACAGATAGCCCATTGTGTGGCTTTGTGCTTAATTAAAAACCAACAAACTACGCTGTCGTTCTTCATTATGTTTCCCTATGGCTAAATGTTTCATGAATTAGAACTAAAATAATGCCCCCCAGTAACACAGCGGACTTACAACGCTAGAATCCGGGTTTCGATACCCGTGGTGGGCAGAGCACAGATAGCCCATTGTGTAGCTTTGTGCTTAATTACAAATAAACAAACGAATAAACAAAACTAAAATAATGTAAATATTGGAACGTAAAATAAATTACTTACGTAGTATGTGTATACCGTTTTAAACGTAATGTTTTGAAGATTAATTAAATACATTTTATGTAAAATGATAAAGATATGTTGTTAACTCGGCATGTAATCTTACTTTGGTAAAATATTTTTACGGTGATATATACTTATGTTCTTGATGTGTCATCTTGATACATAGATATCACAACAGACCCTATCACAACTGTCCATTGTTAATGCATTTCTTTGTTTTTGTTACCTGTTTAGTATATGGCTAGTGCCGAACACATCGGTGCCAAACTGACTGCAGAAACTCTTGATAACCTTGGACTGGATAAAGAGTCGAAAATAGTTGATATAGGTGCTGGAACTGGCGCTCTTGGGATGTTGGTTTGTATTCGTTGAAAAAGCTTTTAATATATAAAATTAATTCCTAATGTATAGTTTTTACGTTTGGTTTTTAGTTACTAAGTGCAAAATTCCACAAAGGGCTATCTGGGATTTGCTCACCGCAGGAATCGAGCCCAAATTTTAGCGTCATAATCCCTTAAACTTATCACTGAGTCTAGGTGGTATTTAGTTTCTGACGTATGGTTTAAAAACGATATCACTGACAATGTTGGTTGAATAGATAAAAAATATAGGTTATTGCTTAAGAAACTATTCTGTTAGTCGGAAGCTCAAATTAATGTTAATGTTTTCCAGTGGAAGCGATTACTCACAACCATCTAGTATTTTTTTCAGGCATCTTGCCAGAACATAAGAAATTCAACACGACTTAAACTCACACAGTATGTACTTTTTTTAAACTATATTTCTACCTATAATTATAGTTTCTAAAGACAAATTACTTTCGCTCTGACTTTGTCACTTTGGGTAAATTTTCATAAAAGTTATAATCTGATTCTTGCCATCAAGTTTGTTTACTAGCAGTCTGAAACGTTTACCAATCAACAGTGAGAGTCAACAGATAACCCTCAACTTTAAACTGTACTCAGGATATTTTGATCACAGCTAAAGTTACAAGAACTGCCATGTACGATGTTTCCACTGACCTTGTTTTTGGAAATTACTGTGACCACGTGCGTCGTATCTGTGTTCGAACTACTGAAATTGTATACCTAAAATACTGTTACGTCTCCGTTCGTTAGTTAATTTTCCGTAAATTCGTTACGACGAAACTTTAGCGACACAAGTCCTTTCTTAAATAAAACTGGTTTATTCTTTCCGAATACAACTTTACGATACACTTAATTTCAACAGTCGCTCTATAACAAACGCTATAATTCTCAACGAACGTCTCACGTGCTCGTGCTCGACTCAACAATACTCAGTACAATTACACACACTATTCCGTCACGTTGTGACCGTCTTATATATACAAGACTAACACATATCTAGTAAACGCTAGAGCATTCATGAAGGTTCGAGAAGGACGTGGCGTGATACTAGTCACATGACCTTGCTGACGCAGCACTGCCCCTCCTTAGTATTGTTCGTCCCGAACAATAGACACTTACATTAAACCAATAACAATTAACAATAACTTGATTAAATGTACAGAATTACAAACACAAAATTACAATTCAACAAAGTCTCTTAATTTTACGGGACGTAACTTCTTCCGTACTAGTCTCCGTCTCGTTGGCTTCTGCTTCATATGGGGTTCATCTGCTTCATCAGGAAATGTCCTATCGTCGATAACAGTCACCTCAGTGGTAGTAACTTCATCAAGAGCTTCACTGTTTCCCTTCTCAAAACTGAGTAGAGTTTCTTCTTCGACAGTGGCTTTTTCAGGTGACATGTCTTCAGCAGCGTCATTTGCTCTGTTGTTCACTTCATCCCAACTGAAATGTCCTGGACCGTGATAACGTCAAAGCCTGTTGGCATGCACCACTTTTGCCTTACCTCGCCGACTATATTTTATCCGGAAAGTCACGCCTGAGAGATGATCCACTATGTCATATAAGCCTTCCCATGGAGAATACAACTTAGGAGACTTCCCTTTGGTCTTCCTGGGATTATACAACCACACCTTGTCTCCTGGTTCAAAGCTGACTTCAGTAGATCTCTTATCATAAGATAACTTCATCGAATCAGCAGACGTTTTCAAGTTTGAACGCACTTGATGGTGAATATCATCCATTTTTTCCAATAACACTTTCACAAACTCTGACACATTCTCAGGCAACTCTTCATAAGGTGGGCGTCCTTTATGCTTGGGTCTCCTTTTAGCACTACGTGTACTGCATGTTCTGCACCATTCTTCCACATCTCGCCTCATACCTATCCAGTAAAATATTTGTTGTAGGTGACTCAATGTTTTCTTAATTCCGAGATGCCCTCCTGTTA